TGACTCAGGTGATATATATATATATATGTATATATATGTATATATATATCTGGGTCATGTAAATTTTTTTTTTTTTTTGCATTTCTGTTACAATTTTTGGTAGGAAAACTATGTGAATGAATCAATTGGGGCAAAAAAAAAAAGCAAATAAAGAAAACATTTGTATTAAAGCATTGGATCTGTGCTTTGGGACTTAAAGGGGACATCAGGTGCAAAATTCACTTTTACATGGTGTTTGAACTTAAATGTGTGTTGGCAGTGTGTGTACACAACCACCCTATAATGATAAAAATCCACCCAGCACTTGTTTTTAAATCCCCATGAATCATAAGCACTTTCTCAGAGCAAGCCGTTCACAGATTATTGGCAAAGTGACGTCACTTTGCACAGGCCCCTCCCAAGACTGTTGACGGACACTGCCGTTTTAGCATAGACCCGTCCTGAGTGAGCTGTAAACTGTCCACCATTGTTTTTCGACGCCGGAGCAGATGTAGACAAGAATGACTCCTAAGCGATTGAGGTGTTTTGTTGTTGGATGTAAGAATGAACATAGCAGTGGTCGTTTACTCCTGACATCTGAGCCACTGAAGACGCAGTGGATTACCTTTGTTTTTGAAGGGAATGCACCCCCCGACCTACCTTAATGTGTCTATGTTTGCCCGAATCATTTTACTCCAGACTGCTTTCTGAACGAGGGACAATTCAGTGCAGATTTAGCTAAAAAGTTAAAACTCAAGGATGGATCAGTACCCACTGTACGTGATCCAGCTGCACCTCCAGAAGAAGTAAGACCCGCACTTTATATTTCTTATGATTATTTGCAAATCGCCTTTGCTCTTTCACGGAAGAGAGGGGTGGGGTGAGCAGAGCTCATTAGCATTTAAAGAGACATGCACCGAAATGCACATGAAGACCCTAAAGAATCATACCTGCTTGTGAAAAATGGGCATCTGATGTCACCTTTAAAGTGTCAATGCAGCCTTAATAATAATAATAATTAATAATAATATTTTAATTGACATCACTCACTGTTCTTTTTCTTTATTACTGACCATTTACTTGAATAAACATTTTAATAACATATTCCATTGTTTTAGTTCATTTGGATAATTAACATAATAGGCATTTAACTTTTTAATTAAACCGGTGTGTTCAGTAGCATATTACGTTTTTGTTGTTGTATCAGGAATTTTTAAATTTCAATGATATTGGTATCCATTACTGAAATTCGGTTGTTGTGACAACCCTAATGATATTCCTGTAAACAGGGTTGATTATGTTATGGATCATGCAATTGTGAATCAGAAATAATGTAAAACCAGACTGTGCCAGTTGCAGGCATACGGCAGTCTGTGTGTGGTCTTGTCTCCCTGCCCGTTTTGCATCACAAACACTAGAAAGAGAGAATAAGTGATTGTTTTTTTCCTTTGCTGGGGTTTGTTTCAGTTCTAGGCAGTGGAAAAGTGGACTCCGAAGACCAGTTGAGACCTGCATTATTACAAATGAGCACATAAATGAGAGCCCTCCACGGCGATGCCCTGGGTGTATTTTTGTGTGTGAGGATACGCTGTTTTCTACAGTTAATGAATCTGTGTTGCAGAAGCTGCAGACCTGAAGCAGGAAGAACGACTGCAGGAGCTGGAGAGCTGCTCAGGTGTGGGTAGCACTTCAGATGACACCGAGGTCAGAGAGGTCAGCTCCCGGCCCAGCACCCCGGGACTCAGTGTCGTTTCAGGTAACACATACACAAAAGCCTAATTGTCTAAATGCGTTCAAATGAGCAACCGCTGTCAATCTGGAATCGCAGAATTGTGCAAACATGAACTTGCAGAATTCAACAATCCAAAGGTTTTAACATCTTGCTTGTCACATTTGAATGTTATTCTCTGCCTTGCTGAGTTCTTTATTCAGCGTCTCTTCTTCCCTGACATGCTGATGAAGACAAATAGCCATGTAAGACAACGGCAAACTCCCGAAAGACTACTTGTGGGGAGTTTTCCCTGAGGACTTTGGCAGATGGATCGCCTTTACTTCCTCCTTCGTTCAATCTTGCCGCTTCCATCTCTCGTTCACTTACTCTGACCTCCCTGGGGATTCTCCTGACCTCTTTGTGTGCTCAAGGGAGCATTGTCATGGTTTCCCCGCTTCCATGAAGAGCTTGAAATGAGATTGGCTGTTCAACATGGCCACCACTCCATCACTTACACGCTAGACTTTTGCTTACTCTCTGAACTATTCTGGAGATCTGAGAGATATATGCACAGTCAAACTGCAAGCTAGTTTTGCTAAGGCAGCAGAACAAAGTGTTTTTTTGTCATTTGTTTCTTGTTTTATAGGTAGTATGTCATGCCAAAGTTTCCTCAAACTACTTCACAGCTTCATAGGTAATATATTTCCTTCTGTGATTTATAATTGGAGGCTTTGCTGATTTGTTGCATATTGTTTGTGCAGGCATCAGTGCCACGTCAGAGGACATCCCCAATAAGATTGAAGACCTACGCTCAGAGTGCAGCTCAGATTTTGGAGGCAAAGACTCCGTGACCAGCCCAGATGGAGAGGACTCTGCTCATGGTACAAACACACAATCAAGTGACTGATTGGGCACACACACACATACACACACACACACTCACTCACACACTGTGCTTTGTACTCCGAGATGCACTAAGAAAGTTTTACTCCTTAAGATGTAAATGTATAACACAAGTAGAGCCTCACTGTGGCTGTCAAGACGTCAAGGTGGTTATCATGGCTGTTATCCCTTGCTGGGAAATGATTCAACTGGATGGATTAAATCGATTTAAGGATGGATTAAATCAATCAAAAGTAAATAAAGACTTAGGAAACAGTTATTTTATATTGATAACATTACTGTTTTACTATATTTTGAACAAATAAATGCACCCTTGGTGAGCATTAGAGACTTCTTTCAAAAACAAAAAATGGCTAATGTTATTGTCCAATGGCCATAACATTTTATATAATCACTGGCTCTTAGCAGAGGTTAGCAGACTGCATAATGCTAACATATCAGTTGTTTAAAGGTGATAAGAGCCAGCAAAACATATAAACATATAATAACTTGGTGCATCTTTAAGTTTTGTTAGGGTCTTAAACACATCTATAAAGGAGTATGTCAAACGTTTTATCTTCAGACATAATGTTTTTTTTTATTTTTATTATTATTAATTCTTATCCTGCACAGCTGTTGAATATGTTTCTTGGGATTTCTGGTGTGGGACTAACATGTCCTTTGTCACTCATTTACGTTATCCCTTTATGCACCCCCCGTTCTTCCACCTCTCTAGGAGCTCACAGTCTATCCTGTGCACCCTCTCAAGCAGATTCACTGCTGGCCATGTTCGATCCCCTCTCCTCTGGAGAATAAGATTGAAGACCTACGCTCAGAGTGCAGCTCAGATTTTGGAGGCAAAGACTCCGTGACCAGCCCAGATGGAGAGGACTCTGCTCATGGTACAAACACACAATCAAGTGACTGATTGGGCACACACACACATACACACACACACACTCACTCACACACTGTGCTTTGTACTCCGAGATGCACTAAGAAAGTTTTACTCCTTAAGATGTAAATGTATAACACAAGTAGAGCCTCACTGTGGCTGTCAAGACGTCAAGGTGGTTATCATGGCTGTTATCCCTTGCTGGGAAATGATTCAACTGGATGGATTAAATCGATTTAAGGATGGATTAAATCAATCAAAAGTAAATAAAGACTTAGGAAACAGTTATTTTATATTGATAACATTACTGTTTTACTATATTTTGAACAAATAAATGCACCCTTGGTGAGCATTAGAGACTTCTTTCAAAAACAAAAAATGGCTAATGTTATTGTCCAATGGCCATAACATTTTATATAATCACTGGCTCTTAGCAGAGGTTAGCAGACTGCATAATGCTAACATATCAGTTGTTTAAAGGTGATAAGAGCCAGCAAAACATATAAACATATAATAACTTGGTGCATCTTTAAGTTTTGTTAGGGTCTTAAACACATCTATAAAGGAGTATGTCAAACGTTTTATCTTCAGACATAATGTTTTTTTTTATTTTTATTATTATTAATTCTTATCCTGCACAGCTGTTGAATATGTTTCTTGGGATTTCTGGTGTGGGACTAACATGTCCTTTGTCACTCATTTACGTTATCCCTTTATGCACCCCCCGTTCTTCCACCTCTCTAGGAGCTCACAGTCTATCCTGTGCACCCTCTCAAGCAGATTCACTGCTGGCCATGTTCGATCCCCTCTCCTCTGGAGAAGGTAATGTCACTTCCCAGCATGCACTGCTGTAGAATGCAGTACTTTCACATGTAAGAGCTAAAAAGGAGTGCCATTAATGTACCTAATGACAAGAGCCCACTAAACAGCGTGTGCGCTGTGAAATAAAGCAAGCACTTGCCAGATTTCTATCCTATTATGGCCCATTCTAGTAGAATAGAGGGTTTTCAAAAGCTAAATTTGATTTGTGTTTGTCAAAGCCTACAAATCTACAATGGAAAGTTGTATAAATGTGTTGGAGAGACAATGTGAGAATATGTGTGTGGGGCAAGGTGAGGGGATGACAGGTTGCTAGACCTCACTGCAGGCGTTTTGGCTCAGCGGCCCGTCCCCACTGAGCTAGTGGCACAGGGCTGGCATTGGAACGCACACAGCAGAGATGCTGTACCCTTGGAACAGGTGGCCTACTTTCACCTGAGGTCTGTCTGACTCTGACAGCTCTCTCAAGCGCGCGCGTGCGTGTGCATACACACACACACACACACACACACACACACACACACAAACAAACACTCCTGCTGACAGTGCGCATGCAACCTTTTTTATGAATGCCAGTTAAACAGAAGTCATGTCACGACCCTGGCTCTAGTTTTGTTTATCAAAAACTGGAGGTTATGTTGCAAATATCAATTTGCAAAAACGTTTTTCTCACAGGAATAGAGTTTAGCCAGTGACATGATTAAATACAAAAGCAAAAACCCTCTAAATTTGGGTCAAATGTCTTTGCAGGTTCGTCCACTGGCACCATCGTGCGGCCCAAGGTGCACTATCCCCGGCCCCCTCACCCTCCCCCTGACCCGCCTATTCCAGAGGCCAGCATTATGGGCCACCAGGAGCCTCGTCCACCCCTCTTCGCCCCCCACTTGGTGCAGAGTGACCTGGAGCATCCCAAACAGAGGCACTCTTACCCTGAAAGGCTGGTCAGGAGCCGCAGCACAGATGTGGTGTCCGCTGGCCGCAGACCCAACAGTGATCCCGGACTGAACCGCAGGACCATGATGGAGGAGAGAGACCCGGCTGGGGCTTATTCCACAGGACCCACCTCCTCTCCCAGCAAGGATTCTCTCAAAGGAGAGGTGAGAAAAATGGTTTTGTGTAATCAGTATTATTTATCTATACCGTATTGGCCCGAATATAAGACGACCCTGATTATAAGACGACCCCCCTTTTTCCAGATGTACCTTTTGGAAAAAGGCTTTTTAAAAACCAAATCTTGTTTTTTCTCAGTAAAACACATTTTGTCTTCAATTAATTTCATATTGCATATTTTTCCTATTTTAATTTTTGTTTTGAAAGTATGATAAAAACTGGTAAAATGTACCAACAAATCACATTTAAAAAATATACACTTCTTGATATACCATAAAAAAAACAAAAAAAACAGGTAGCCCATCTGAATTAGGACATTTAGGCTATCCATCTAATAGTAGCCTACCAAAATCTTATGAACAGTAGAAGTTAAATCTTACTGTAGTCGTCAAATCTTGGTACTGTCTTACGTTTTAAAATCACAAAGGGAGTTTGGTCCCAGCAGGCTAACCTGACAGGCACGACTCATGCAGCTGTAAGGTTTTCTGCTTCTTTTGTTTTTACTCGCGATCTTTACAACACCATTACATTACGTATTTCATGGCACACTCGTTTTATGCGTATTTGGCGCCACCTATTGTTGTGTGTGTATTATTGACATGTCAAAGTCTAGACCCTGAATATAAGACGACCGCGTTTTTTCAGATGTATTTCCAAGAAAAAAACATTGTCTTATATTCGGGACAATACGGTATTTGCATTACAGCATCAATATTATAATATATAAAATAACTGTTTTCTATTTTATTATATTTTAAAATGTAATTTATTCCTGTGATGCAAAGCTGAATTTTTAGCAGCCATTACTCCAGGCTTCTAATATGCTGATTTGCTGCTTAATCATTCTAATATGCTGATTTGCTGCTTTCATTTAAGATGATTGTCATGCGCTCTTGAATACAGGGTGGTCTCTTAGCTCTGTCGTCATTCATGACAATGGCTGCACATCTGCGCTGAGCAAACATGAGTTACGAGCAGATTACAATCCCTATTCAAACCCTGCGTAATCTTGGGTAATCAGCATCAGCCTACTGTGCAGTCCACCCATGTACCATAAAGCATATCATTAAGGTTTAGGGTTTATGGCTCGGTGCTTGTTCAGAGGATGACCTATTGACAAACAGACAGATTGCATGGCAACTACATCACCTCAATGTCATTTCCTGTCCCTGTGCAGAAGGGGTTTACTGTCTCGCAGGTTTAGCAACAGCACACTTTTTTAAGGAAGGCAAACACCTCAAAAATAAAACGAATACATTTAAAAAATGAAAATGTATTTTCAATTATTAATTATCAAATTCATTTATCTTTATAATAATGGTCCTTAACATAGGCTTCATTTTTGTTCTTTTGTTCTTCTTCTTCTTCTTTTTTTTTTGAGATTTTAATGACAATTTCATCTGCATTTCACATGACTGTGATTCAAAAATAGACATTAAAATTAAATAAATAAAATGTAGTACCGTATTGGCCCGAATATAAGATGACCCTGATTATAAGACGACCCCCCCTTTTTCCAGATGTACCTTTTGGAAAAAGGCTTTTTAAAAACCAGATCTTGTTTTTTCTCAGTAAAACACATTTTGTCTTCAATTATTTTCATATTGCATATTTTTCCTATTTTAATTTTTGTTTTGAAAGTATGGTAAAAACTGGTAAAATGTACCAACAATCACATTTAAAAAATATACACTTTTTGATATACCATAAAAAAAAATAAAAAAAACTGGTAGCCCATCTGAATTAGGACATTTAGGCTATCCATCTAATAGTAGCCTACCAACATCTTATTAACAGTAGAAGTTAAATCTTACTGTAGTCTTCAGATCTGGGTACTGTCTTACGTTTTAAAATCGCAAAGGGAGTTTGGTGCCATCAGGCTAACGTGACAGTCACGACTCGTGCAGCTGTAAGGTTTTCTTTTTCTTTTGTTTTTACTCGCGATCTTTACAACACGCATTACATTACGTATTTCATGGCACACTCGTTTTATGCGTATTTGGCGCCACCTATTGTTGTGTGTGTATTATTGACATGTCAAAGTCTAGACCCTGAATATAAGACGACCGCGTTTTTTCAGATGTATTTCCAAGAAAAAAACATTGTCTTATATTCGGGACAATACGGTATTTGCATTACAGCATCAATATTATAATATATAAAATAACTGTTTTCTATTTTATTATATTTTAAAATGTAATTTATTCCTGTGATGCAAAGCTGAATTTTTAGCAGCCATTACTCCAGGCTGCAGTGTCACATGATCCATCAGTAATCATTCTAATATGCTGATTTGCTGCTCAAGAAATATTTCGTATTATTATAAATGTTGAAAACAGTTGTGCTACTTAATATTTTTGTGGAAACCATGATTTATTTTTTTAATGAATTTGAAGTTCAAAAAGAACAGCATATTTTTAAATTAGATATCTTTTGTAAGAGTATACATTCTTTTATGTTACTTTTGATCAGTTTACGTTTTCTTTCGTTTAAAAATCAAATTATTAAAATTAAATGAGTAGAAAAATCTTCCTCTATGTAAAATTTTAATTTCTGGAAAAAAATTCTCAAAATCTACTCAAGTTAACTATGTTCCATAAATTTTAACTTAAATTTAAAAAACTTTTTCTTCGTTCAGGGTTCAAGTTACTTGAGGTCAAGTAATTGGCAGAATGTAAGTGTTTGAGTGAACAACTACTTTAAATAATCATGTTTTTGTATGTGTGCAGTCTGAGGACAGAAAGGACAGCGATGATGAGAAGTCTGATAGGAACAGACCCTGGTGGAAGAAGCGCTTTGTTCCTGCCATTCCTAAAGGTGAGAAGCCCAACTCTTATTTCCTGAAGGTTTTTTCAATGGGTACATGTCTGCTTTCATCCTGTGGATCAGTGGTCAATGGCTAGAAAATTGCATTTAAATATGGAAATAGCTGGTATAGAAAAAAAGCATTCTTTTTGAATAGGGGAAAAGTGCTGATAGTATCTGCTTCTGTTATTGGTTCAATTGGAATCATGGCAATACAATTAAAAACATTAATATTGACTAATACTGATATGGTCACTGCTGTAACGTGCATCCATACTTTATAAGTGTGCAAAATTTGAATGTGCAAAACTTTAAATGTGTATTTGGATTATTGCATTTGTGAATCAGTATTTCTAATTGGAGAAAAATTTGTCTTTCTGATTTTCATCTTTAAGAACACAAATATTCATTTTAAAAATCAAGGATTTTTTTTATTGACTGTTCTTTTCTTTTAGATGTTTGATCATTTTACAGGAAAGATGTTTTTAATGGAATTACCATGTACGTTTAAATGTGTGGGGTATAAAATATATATTCTATTTTATACAATTTTTTTTTTTTACAATTCTTTGATGAATGTAATGTTCAAAAGAACAGCATTTATTTGAAAAATAGAAATCTATTGTAACATTATAAATAATTTTACTGTCACGTATGATCAATTTAATGCATCCTTGCTGATTAAAAGTATCAATTTCTTTCCAAAAAAACAAAACAAAACAAAAAAACAACAACTTTTGGACAGCCAAACTCCCAAATGCAACTCCAATTAGTCTAACTTTCTAAGGCTCATTAGCAATTAGCATTTAGCATGGCTCGGGCAAAAAGTTTGTGTGTGTGAAGCCCAACCCTGTCTGTTGCTGTCTGTGTTCCTCACACAGTGCTCTATTGGACAGCAGAGGGTGAACTCCCAGGTAACCCACTCTTCAAGCTCTCTCCCACTCAGTTTAGTGCTGTACACTAGCAGCCCGAATATTTGCTAGCTCGTGTAGACTTCTCTTCGCCACTGTGTGACGGCTAGAGCTGTGACGCAACACAGTCAAGCTTCATCTTTTCATTCATGCAGCCATCTTGGATTTCCATAATTTATTTTGTAGTGGTTGCTGGTTGAACTGTATAAAAGGATTTTGCTCAAATGCACTTGAAAAAGATGCATAATTTGCTGTAGGAATACAAAAACTACTGAAAAATACTACCTACTTTGGTGTCAAGTCAAAATTAAAATGAATAATACAAATTAATGTAAACTTTTTTTAAATTTAATTAAAAGAACAAGCTTGTTTCCTTGCATATTACTTTTTGTTGTGGAATCAAAATTAGTGTTGAGAGTCAATAAATTTTGCTGTCCTTGTTAACTATTGAAATTTTGGTATCAGAACCTCAATTTTCATAGACTTGTCATATAAAGACAATCTCATCTGTTTTTTTTTTTTGCACATACACATGGCATTCTGCAGCACAGAGGCCCACATCTGTGTGTTTGCACTTAGTAGTGACATGCTTCCTGTTTTAGTTCCCCATTACTGAATATTTGGTAGTGGCTGTGTGGAGCAAATACATTCAAAGCATGTTCGTCCATTTGGTACAGTGGACTGGAGAGGGTCCGTGTCTTGAGGTTTGCCTTGTAGGAGCACGGCTGCAGCGTTGTGCGATTTTTGTGAGAATAACTACTTCTGTTAATTTTTGCAGTGCCGATCGCAGGACTCCGAAAGCGGGACAAGCCAGAAAAAGACGAGCAAGGAGTGGAAAGGGTACCACAAGGTCTGCTTCCATTTAACTCTTGTCATACACTCACTGCAGCCATTGTCCAAGCTGATCACGTGTGTATGCATCTCAGGTATACCAGATGAGCCTTCAGCGCTCAGGCAGAGCTCTAAGACCCAGTCAGCAGAGGCAATAATGGACAAGTACAAGTACATCATGGAGAAACGACCCACCCACAGTGATGGGGCACTTGCTGGAACTTATATTGGACAAGGTTTGTCATATGATATTATTCATACTATAATATAGAAATACCCAAAATGGTACACACTCTCTTTCTTCTGTATTGTGGAGTAAATAACTGGAAGTAGTGATGCTTCTAACATTTTATAGTAGTCTGATACAGACACTGTAGCTTGTCCTCTCAGGTATTGTCCCCTCATGTGTGGCATTTAATGATTTTTTATCACATAATATTTTATGGAGTTTTTATGTATATACAGAATTTAGTCTTTTTTTTTCTCCAAGTTGAATTTTATGAAATTATTTATTTATTGTATTCTTTATATATATTCAAGGTTGAATCTGTATCTGACGTTAAATAGCCTGTGAAGCTGATATGGCATAAACTTCAATACATCAAGAATAATTTACAGATTCATCAGCGAATCAGTGTGCAGAAGTTCCTCTCATTATTTTGTAGCAAAATGTTAAATTGTGAAATTAAATACGAAGGTATAATAGCTTTTGTTAGCAACTTTCCTATAACTATAAGAGTAGCTTGACTACATTTTTTAAATTGCTTCCCCAACACTGCTTATGTTGCTGCTTACTCTTATCTGTTAGACAAAATGTATCAGTGAAACAGTTCGTCATCTGCTGTTTTGTCACTGTTTTTACAGAGCCTTGTAGAGAAGTAGACAGTGAGCACGACTCCCCTAAAGATGAAGCTCTGCAGAACATCTCTGCAGATGACCTTCCAGACTCTGCCAGTCAGACAGCGCCACCTCAGGACAAGACATTCTCCTTCAGGTCTCTTAGACAAACAAACTGTCACTCACAATTTTTTTCTCTTGCAAGTAAAATCAGTACATTCTGAAAGTCTAAATCTCAGGAACCAAAATGGCAATGAACATTTAACAATCAGAATGATGAGTGAATTTTGACCTTATGTGTGCATAATCTGTCTGTTGTATCTCTGCAGTGATATTAAGAAAAAGCTACGCCTGGCGCTGTGCTCTGCAGATTCAGTTGTATTTCCCATCATTCCACCGGCAACAACACGTAACGGTCTCCCAGACCATGCAGATCCTGAAGGTTACTTACTATCCATATTATCTCCTATTATCTATACTTGACTTATGCTATACTTTTTACAAAGTTGTAATATGTTTCTTTTAGTTTGTAATAATAATAATGATGACAATAATAAATGAATACTATTTATAATAATTAATACTAATACTATAATGATTATTATTAACACTACTATTATTTATTATTATTATTATTATTTTATAAATTATTGTTGTTGTTGTTATTATTATTATTTTTTTTTTTATGCTAGGGTACAGTCCTGTTTAAAAGGAACCTTCATCTGAACTAAAGTTTTCGTAGCTCTGTACACATGGGGTGAAAGTAGCTGTTCCACAGGTTTTGAGGTTCAAAACGCTGTGCATTTATGTCTGGCCCCTGTCTCCTCTCTCTCCTCAGACAACGAGATTGTGTGCTTTCTGAAGGTGCAGCTGGCGGAGGCCATTAACCTGCAGGATAAGAACCAGATGGCTCAGATCCAGGAGACTACGCGCTGCGTCAGCCACCTCGACCCCCGCACCTGCAGAAGACTGCTCAGTGCCATGGCAGAGGACTACAAGTACACACATTACTCTCTTATTTTCTCCCTCTCTATCTTTCTCTCTCTCTTAATGTCTCACTAACTTAGTCACATTGTTTCTCTCTTTTACTCACTTCTCTCACACACAACTATGAATCACCATCTTCAAACTGGCATTCTACCCCAATCAGGATGGGGACATCCACAGAGACGAGTGAGGAAACTCATAAAACCTTCTTCCTTATTTCTGTTAGTTTCCACATAGTGTCTAAACCAGATGTGATGCATTAAGCAACCTCCTCTATACTAATCTGTCTGACATTTTGTCAGTCAAATGGTTTCTGTCTTTATCGCATTGCACTGGATAGCCCCGCCCACAATGAAATCTCATTAGTACAAAATCATGTTTATGCCTGCATATTAAACACTAAATATTAAAAAAAAAATTTAATTAGGGATGGGCGATATGGACTATATCACAATATTTTCTTGTATTTATTGCGATAACGCAATATCAATGACGATAATTCATATTCATATTAAAAAAAACTCTGTTTAGAGAGAAGTATTATCTTTCCTATTTTTACCGCCCTCGCGCAGAAACTCCTCATATGCATCACAGTAATAGAACTTATGACGTTCCAGGAAATCCCTAATATGGACAAAGAAGACATCAGCTATATATATATATATAAGACATCCATCTATCGCTGTAGCGGAGTTAAAAGATAGAAATGCTTAAACTGACCAAACATGAAGACAATAAACATGATTGTGACAATATATGGTTTATCTGTGTTCTTCAAGCCATCTTGGGTATTTTTATAAGAATAAAGTATATTTATAATGCAATGCTAATCAGTTTATCACTTTTATCACTTGCCTTTATCACTGTATAGAATACTATAAAATATCGTGCTACTGTAGTACATTTATTCATTGCACAGACAGATTTTTTTTGTAGCACTGCACAGCCTTGACCAAACCAGTCCCAGATTGTAGAGGCAGCTCCTCATTTAGCTATAAACTCTTCATCAGTTTCACGTCTGCTTTCCGCCATGGCACTCCACACGGTCGAAAACAGAAATATGTCAACAACTAGGTTTTATCGTTGTTATCACGAGAAGACTAATTCTTATCATGGGGAGCATTTTTACCAGTATATCGCAAACGATAAAAGCACAGCCATTTGAAATGGGGATGGGCGAGATCTTGTTTATTTGCACAAGAAAAGTGGTTAATGGTATGTCTCCTTTATTCAAGGCTATTCCTGGAGCACATTCAGCGTCTGTCCAAAGTGGTGACGGCCAATCACAAAGCCCTGCAGATCCCGGAGGTAACCATTTGCACTATGTCTCAAAATATAGTAAGAAACAAAGACAGAAAAATAGCAATTTGATCTTTGTGTGTGTGTGAATCTATGCAGGTCTATTTGAAGGAGGCACCATGGCCCTCAGCACAGGCTGAGATCAGGACCATCAATGCCTATAAGACCCCACGAGATAAAGTACAGTGTATCCTGCGCATGTGCTCCACAATTATGAACCTGCTCAGCCTGGCCAATGAGGACGCTGTACCCGGGGCTGACGACTTTGTCCCTGTGCTCGTCTTTGTCCTGATTAAAGTGAGTTAAGAGACAACCTTAGAGTGTTAATGTTCATAATTGCATTAAGTGTGTTGTGCATTCTGTAACAGTACAAATTATAATTTCTGATAGTTGGCACTAAGGCCCATAAGCATTGGTGTCTTCTAAGTAATCAAATATTCTTTGGTATTTAATAAAAATATCTCTTTAGAAGTTCATTAAATAAATTCAGCTTGTTCTGTAATCACAACTACAGTACATCCACAACACATAATGACTTTATTAAGCAGCTTTAAGACGTAATGAAAAACTGCATATCCTTTCAAATACAAGCAACTTGCAGTTTCATGAGAGCAGGATCCATTGCTTTGTCCTTTAAAAAGATGCCTAATATGCCTTTGTTTTTGCCTCCCTGATGCTTAAAACCAGCTGAACAATTTTATTTCCACTGATACAATAAATTAAAAATATTTTTGAAAAAAATTACATTAATTAAAAAAAACAAACAAACACTATATTAGCCAGTAGCTGATATGGTACCAATATATTGTGCATCACTGCTACAAATGACATTTTAAAAATGAAACTGTTGTAGATTATTCTATTTAAAAGATTAGTTCACTTCCAGAATATAAATTTCCTGATAATTGACTCACTCCTATGTCATCCAAGATGTTCATGTCTTTCTTTCTTCAGTTGCGAAGAAATTAAGGTTTTTGAGGAAAACATTCCAGGATTTGTCAACATATAATGGACTTCAATGGGACCCAATGGGCTGAAGGTCCAAATTGCAATTTCAGTGCAGCTTCAAAGGGTTCTACAAAATCTCAGCCGAGGAATAAGTGTCTTATGTAGCGAAAAAATAGGTAATTTTCAAAAAAATTAAAATTTATATACTTTTTAACCACAAATGCTGGTCTAGCACTAGCTGGACACATCACGTAATCACAGTGGAAAAGTCACGTGTGGTTAGCTCTTCATCTGTATACTCTGGTTCAGAAAGATAGGGTAGGGTGTAACTCCATCTCATTTTCTCCTCCAACTTCAAAATCGTCCGACATCGTTGTTTGACCTTTTTTGTAAAGGGTGTTTGACTTTCTTTTAGGGCTGGGCAAAAAAAATCGATTTTTCGATTAATCATTTTTTAAAATGACGTCGATTCGATATCGATTCTCAAAAGCCGCGAATCGATCTTTTCCGGGATTTATTTCAGCACACATTTAAAACAAGATCTGATTAACGTGAATCCTGAATCGATACCCAGCCCTACTTTCTTTGCACGTTCGTTTTGTAAACGCTGGGTCGGTACTTCCGTCTATGTCATGCGTGACCTTCCCAACGTGACTACGTAATGCGTGAAGTCGAGCTAGTGCAAGATGTCATTTGTGGTTAAAAAGTATATAAATTTTTTATTTTTTTTATTTTTTAGAAAATGACATAATTTCTCTAGATAAGACCTTTATTCCTCGGCTGGGATCATGTAGAGCCCTTTGAAGCTGCATTGAAACTGCAATTTGGACCTTCAACCCTTTGGCCACCATTGAAGTCCATTATATGGAGAACAATGCTGGAATGTTTTCCTCAAAAACCTTAATTTCTTTTCGACTGAAGAAAGAAAGACATGAACATCTCGGATGACATGGGTGTGAGTAAATTATCAGGAAATTTTTATTCTGGAAGTTAATTTTATATACATTACCGCTCAAATGTTTTGGGTTTGGTACGTTTTTTTTAAAAATGTTTTTGAAAGAAGTCTCTCTTATGCTGTACAAGACTGCATTTATTTGATCAAAAATGTAAAAAGAACAGGTTTTATTAGAAAAAAAATTCTCTTTACTGTCGCTCTTGATCGATTTTATGCACCCTTGCTAAATAAAAGTATTAATTTCTTTAAAAAAGTTACAAACTTTTGAATGCTAGTTTGCTTCAAGGTTAAAACCTGTCAAGTCTTCAGAAACAAAGTTAATGCACTGATCCTAATGCTAGAGTTATTTCGTTTGCTTGATGCGTGTAAGTTTTGTTATTTTGTGCAGTGTTTTTTCAGTTTTCCGCACCCCATACCTATTTGCATTTGCTATGCACACGCCCACACCAGATTTTCTAAACTTGTAAGTGCGCTTGAATGTGTAAGCATGCACAATGTGGGTGGTCAGATGTTAACTCGTACGTTAATTCCCCCCTCTCGTTCGTTCTCTCCCTCCCTCCAGGCAAACCCTCCCTGCCTTCTGTCCACCATTCAGTACATCAATAATTTCTACGCCAGCAGACTGAGCGGGGAGGAGTGCTATTGGTGGATGCAGTTCACTGCCGCCGTGGAATTCATTAAAACCATCGACGATCGCAAGTGAAGCAGAACAGCCACCTGTATGGGTAGACTGTAGGAAGGAGAGAGAGAGAGAGGACAGCGCGGACGACTACTCTCCCCTTCATCGAGAACGCACAGCGTGGCATCGCCTCAGTCTGTATAGCTGTACATAGAGGCAAAAACACTTCAAGTTTAAAATCGATCAAACATTAGATATGATCATGACAGGTTTTACTGCGCTGGGGTATTAAACAAATGAAAACAAATAATGCGGCAGGTGGCGACATTGCCACTCTCTACTGATCTCGCTTATAACCCACGTCTTTTTCTGTAGTACTGGGGAGGTGCTGGGGCTTAGAATCAAATTTTATATTAAACACAGATTTAGCAAGTAATTAGCTCTGTTAAAACATACCTATCAAATGAAAAAGGGACCAGGAACTACCTGCATCGATCATGTGTCGGGACGCTTCTGAGGGGAATCCATGATTCTGTCCTCCTTGTATAAACCGTGCAATCTCACCCCGTTCAAAGCTAACAGTCACACGCCGAGTCATATCAAAGTACGCATCACTATAGATGCTGCCAGTGTATCAATGTTACAGTTTCTCAAATTAAACATGCCATTATTTTAATAGGGCAGCTTGTTCTATGAATGTAAACAGGTGTTGTCATTATTGTACATTCATTCTTTCCTACGTTTCCCAGACAATTTGGAAATAAGGGCCCACATATTTATATAAAATAAAATGTATTTATTACTTAACTCCTGTATTTAATGTTTTATTATATTTACTGACTTGTTCCATGAATTAGTTGTTGGGCAGATGCACACGGTTCAGTTGAGGAAACAAGTTCTAGAAATGTTTCAGTCTCACAGAGAGCTGCTAAAACAGGGTGTCTTCACATTAGCGGATAGTTGTAAATTAGTGCCTTGCAGATATTTGCAGTAACACTTGTTCTTTTAGTTGTGGTGGATTTTCTGCCACATTTTGCGTTTCTTGCGTCTTTCATTGAAGTGAAGAAGTCGGATCTGTCAAAGTCAAGCCTGGCTAAACGTCACTATGCTATTAATAACAAACCTGAAATAAAAAGTACAGCATGCCAAGTAGAAACACCCCCCACATTTGGACGTTCAGTATGTGGATTGTTATTTGTGTTGAATAGGTGGAGAATTGACTGCTGGGTCTTACAGTATGGTCTTAGATGATAGTTATTGCTTGTGTCCCCAAGATATATTTTTGCTGAGTTTGCTGTTGACCTTTTCTTGTCTTTAAATTCCATGTATTGTTTCAGAGTTCTTACTTTTGTAGGATTAAATCACTGTTATTTTTATAATGCAGTTCCCAAGTAGAGCTATGAGTTAGGAGGAACATTTTTGTGTAATTTGAGGTTTACTCTCAGAAAAAAAAAATTGCAAAAATAGGGGTACAATAGCTTGTCACTGGGACCTACCCTCAAAGGGACACCATATTTACCCCTAAAAGGTTCATAGTAGTACCTTAAATGCACATATTAATACTCTAAGGTACAAATACACAACTATTAGGGGTGGATAAGGTACAAACCGGTCCCTTTAAAAGTACTGCCCCAGAGACAAGCATCAATTTTTGCATTTTTTTCTAACACTGTGTTTTTTGAGCTTAGATGGCAAAGAACATTTTAACACTGTGGCATCATTATCAATGCTAGTGTATTGATGTTGAGGAGAATATATGTATTGATACAGGCTACCTTGTGTCATAACCCCGTCACAGCTAGCACATATTCTTCATAACAGTTTTTGCTGTTGATATCAAATGAATAACAGCACAGTATATTATTTAAACAGGAATATCAATAACATCATGCTCTGTGTCATTCTTAAATGATCTTTATTAGATCCAAACTTCCCACTAACGTTTGCACACGAGTAGAGCTAGGGAAAACGAAATGTATCCTTAATATTTTATGTGGTTGTCAGAGTTTCCCGCTTCAAATCTGTCTGTCAGTGTTGCTCCCTAACATCTAAAAGCAAACACTGAGGGCTTGGTGTTGATTTTGGTCCTAAATATAGTAGATGCACTTGGAACAATTAGTTCTACCTCCAACTGTGTACATAAAGGGATGAATAAAATGTTGTAGTGTGTTCTTTTCCTCTAGCTTTTGTAGCCTTTAGAGCTCTGTATATACTTTTTTTTTCTTTCTTTCTGATTCGAATGGTGCATGGATTCTATATTGCCGGTTACTACCATGTATCTATAACATTTATATTCTATATAATATTTATATTCTATATAATAGATCATTTATATTTTATATAAATGTTATAACGGAATATATTTGTCTTGTTCCTTTTTAAATTATAATGTGATATAATTTTTTTTTTCGCCTTTTCAACATTTTCTGTAATGTGGAATCGGGTGTTATTGATTGAACATCTCAATATCTCGAATGGTTCAGGCTGTCAGACTATTTTGGTCTTATTTACTGATGTTTTTGTGTATAAAGCCTGTCCTAACTAAAATATGCATCTTGAGGGTTGTGTAACCTGTGGCAAATATTTGAAGATCTTGATTTACTTGTTTCTATTTGTTTTGATTTTTTCTCTCTCTGACAGTTTGCTTGAGATTGAAAGGCTGGTGTTTTTGGTGTTCTGCATTTAACTGGAAGAAATAAAAGGTGATGGCCTCAATGTGTAAATATTCTAGCCTAAGACTTATTGCATAATCTTTGAGATTTCCAATAGGACAATTTTAATTAAAATGAGAGCGTTTGAATAAAATACACTACTATTCATTTGATCAATGTTTTAGCAAAAGTGACTCCAGCAATGATTTACTGGTGTAAACAGGGTTTTGGGGTACTGAACAGAAATGAACTGAATTGAACTGGCTCAATATCTGAACAGTATGTTGCCTGAGAGTAAGGCGTTGTACTCGATCTGTATTTAAGACCTTTATAATCCTTACCGTACCATGTGGGTCCACTGTTGAAGAGCATGCTAAGAGAATTATGGCTAATGGCTTGCATTTATAAGATTACTTACTTGGACTTCTATTGGGAAGGCATTCTGTGTGTTACACTATGGGATTTTAATATAAACCTGTTCGTAATTCTTAAAAAAACAATTAAAGACTTTCCGTGAACATGCAACATGCATTTTTATGCTAAATGTCCTGATGTCTATGTTCTAGCTGTTTATTTATTTAGTTTTAATTGCGCTGACCATAACCTCCTGAAGTGGCCAAGGTCAGATGGTGGAAAGAATTTATTCAGAATCGATAATCTCAAACTATTCATCTATGAATGGCTGAACAACAAGAAAGTAACTGCTTTAAAAAAAAACTGGCATTCTCTCCATCTCTACACACTGATGTCTGTCTCCTTCACGTCGAGCACGTCACTGGGCTTGAATATGACGAAACAAAGGCCGCCACAAATAGCAAAGCCCCCGCACTCGCCACACATTTAATTACCACTGACAACTGTATAGTGGATTTGTAATTGGAGATTTTTTTCAGTGTAATAGGCTCTTGTTCGCTCTCTCTCCTGCCCTTACCACTCCAGTGCTCTAATTGTAATCTTTCCATCAGAGGAGAAGAACACAGCGGCGTGCCTTTGCTTCTCTTGATGATATCTCCGATTGTTCATTTAAATTCAAATTTGGCCAGAAAAAGAGTAATTAGTTGTATTAATAACCCGAAATGACTCGCTTGGTTGGGAGATGAGATGGCTTTTGTTTAGGTGAGATCGGGTGGATATCGGCAGCCCGCTGTGTGAGATGGAGGCCTTATTGGTGAAACAGGCTAGTGATATGAATAAACTTTGATTATACAACATGGGGTCGTCGCTCCACATCTAAACACATTCCTCTGGCCGTGTTATTGTCGTTTATCCGTTTGTAAACAAAGGTTCTTGGGGGTTTGCTGATTTGATTGTGTATGCAGGATTTGGGACTGGGTTTTGTCTAATGCAACTGTTACATATTGATGTCTGATTGTTGCATGAAGATCTAAACAGCCCGAGGGCCAAGCCCAGATGGCACTGAAATCACAGATCATCAGTCCAGTGAGGCTCACATATGACTACACACACACACACACGCACGCAGTCTGGTCAGCTATCCTTGTGGGGACTCTCCATAGGCGTAATGGTTTTTATACTGTACAGACCGTATATTATATTGCCCTACACCAACCCTACCCCTAAACCTACCCCTCACAGGAAACTTTCTGCATTTTTAGATTTTCAAAAAAACTTCATTCTGTATGATTTATAAGCTTTTGTAACCGTGGGGACCACAATTTGAGTCCCCATGAGTCTGTGTGTAGTCAGGTTTAAGTCCCCACCAGGATATATAAACCAGTACACACAGACACACACATGCTCGCACACACACACTCACTCACACGCACTCACACACGTGACCAGAAGATGGTGATAACGATGACCAGGGCTGCGTTCAGCCCAGACAAAAACGGTGCAAAACGTTTTTTTAAACGGA